TCACCTTCCCCTGACCCTTTTTAGCGGGGCAGGGTGGGAGAGAATTTTATCTTCAGGCCTCAGTTCAAATACCACATTCTCAAACTTCTGTGACAGCCTACTTTCCAAGATGGTCTTCAGATCGTCTCCTATCCCTTCTCTTCTTCTGCAACATAGCCTTGCCACTCTTGTCAAGAGAAGGAATCAAATTCCCTACCAGCCTGAACTGGGCAGGACTTGGTCACGTAAGTGACATTCGGAGGTTTCACAGAATAGCCTCAGTGAGGCTCAAAGCACTAGCAACTTCCATATGGACCATTTGAAATACTCTGTCTTGGGAGGATCCCTGTTGGAAATCAGTGCCTTGCTGTGAGAAGTTCAAGCCACATGGAGAGTCCATGCACAGATGCTCTGCTCTACAGCCCCAGCTGAGCTTCCTGCAGCAGCTGGTGAGTAAGCCACCTAGCAAGTCCAGCAAGCAAGAACCTTGAGAAATCTGAGGGTGTAGGCTCAGTTGCAGAGCATTTGCCTTGTACATATGGGGTCTGAGTTTGATCCCTAGAACCACAACAGAAGAAAAAAGAAAAAAAAATTATAAGGTTACTCCAGTCAACCCACAGAGCTGTGATTGATTTGGGTTTGGAAGGTTGAGTTACAGAGCAACAGTTACTCAGTCTGTCTTTCCAAAAGAGGAAAGGCCCCTGTAGATGCTCTTACCACTCCACTTTTCAGTAACAATAAATGACAGTTACACAACCAGAGTACTGGGAAACCGACACTGATCTAAGTGCTTTACAAATACCACTATTCCTTCCTCACAGAAACCCATGAGGCAAAGCAACATTGCTAAACATCTTCAAGGCAAGGATGGTTGGAGCACCTCGTCCTTGGTGCTCACCCCGGGTATGAACCAGGCAGTCCCTAAGTAGGGCTTATTCACAGCACCACGGTTGGTCTGTAATGTTGTCTGTATCCTTGTAATTATTCAGATAAATGCTTTTAAATACACTGTGAATTGAGATCATGTCTGTGTTTACTAAGAGTAAATTCCCTGATTTCTACTCACAAAATCAGAATAAATCTCAGTGCTTCTGGACAGCTCACATTCAACATAAAAGGAAAAAAAAAAAAACATACCATACCAACTATTAATTCATAGTTTTTGTTTTGCTTTGGTTTTTTGTTTTTTGTTTTTTGAGACAGGGTCTCACTATGTAGTTGAGACTGACCTGGAACTCCCTGAGTAGCCCAGGCTGGTCTCAAACTCACAGTGATCCTCCTGCCTCAGCCTCCGGAGTGGTGGGATTACAGGCATGCGCCACCATGCCCATCTGCTTAATAGTTCTTTAAAGATAGTACCAAATTTTAGTTTATAGATGAACTATGTATTTGGAATTCAAAAGAACATAGCATAGTGCTATGAATATAGGCTTTTGAGAAGGCAGATCCTGGTTCAAATCCTTGAGTATAACCTTGGTTGTTAATTAACTTGCTTAAAATCTTTGTTTCATAATCTGTATCAGAGAGACGCCTTGCCAAATGTGAAGAAAACATGTTAGCTTTGCATTACAATAAAATACCTGAGGTAACCAACTTCAAAAGTAGAAAAGTATTATGGCTCACAGTTTTGGAGATTTCAGTCCATGATGGGTTGTCCCCACTGCTTTTGGGCCTGTGTCAAGGCAGAACATCCTGGCAGGAACACATGGCAGAGGAAACTGCTTACCTCATGGCAGCCAAGAAGCAAAGGCAGGAAGAGGAGGGGCCAGGATCCCATTATCTCTTCAAGGGCACATCCTCAATGATGCAAAATCTTCCATCTGGCCCCACATCTTAAAAGTTTCTAACATTTCCAATGGCACCACACTGGGGACTAAGCCTTTAACATATGGGTTCACGGGGACATTTAAGATCCAAATCATAGCAAAGTGACATATATGCAAAGCATCTTGAATACATCCTCCACACACAGCCCCAACAAAGGTTTTCATTGTCTAACATAACCAATAGAAAATTCTTACAACTGACAGCAAGTGTTAGGTCTGTTCATATTAAGCATTAGTTAAGGACCATGAACAACGTTAAATGGTTGTAAATGGTAAATGGTAGACCAGTCTGTCCACCTTGGGTAGTCTCACTCATTGGACACATAAATTAAATACATTTTTATTTGTAACTTTTAAAAATAGTTGATTGAAGATTTAACAAGTTCAAAGTATTTCACTATAGCAAGTAAGGCCTCATGATGAAGGCTGCTTGTGGGAATCTTTGTTGAGTGGATGAAGAAGGGGACCCTTCCGTACACCCAGCTTAAGAACTCCATCCCTGTCTTGGTTCATGGGCCATACCTGCACTCAGATGGAAGAGGTGAGCATTTGGTATTAGGTTTCTCCCCTGCTATTTAGAAGCTGTATCTGCCAAAAGGAGAAAAACAGAGCAACACATGGCTGACATTTACTAAGTATGGGGAGAGGAAGCTGAATGTACTTAGCATGTTTGTAGATATCTCAAGGTTTACTCCGTGGGCAAGACATCAATCAACATGACTGCTGGAAACCTGCCACCAGCTTCATTCACATATAGCCAGTGTGACTTTTTTTTTCTTCCCAGTACTGGGGCTTAGCTTCCCAGAGAGGGCTGAGCTACATCCTCAGCTTTTTTTTTTTTTTTTTCGGTACTGGAAACTGAACTTGTGCTTGCCAGGCAGGCATGGTGTCACCGAGCAACATTCCCAGCCCTTCTTTTTATTTATTTTTTTGAGACAGAGTCTTGCTAAGTCATGCAGACTGGACTTGAACTTGCCACCCTCCCAGCTCAGCCTCCTGATTAGCTGAGATTACAGGTGTGTGCCACCATGCTCAGCCAGTATGATTTTTTTAACTTCCTAGAGAACTGACCAGCTGTTTGCCCACTTTTGTGCATTTTCGGCCAACTCTTCATTTTATGTTTCTGCAAAAGTTTACCTTTAAATTTTTTTTGGGGGGGGGTACTTGGAATTGGATCCAGGGCCTTCATACTGAGCTATATCCCTAAGCTTTTAAAAAAAAAAAAATTTTTTTTTTTTGAGACAGTGTCTTGCTAATCCCTAAACTGAGCTGGACTCAAACTTGCAATCCTCCTGCCTCAGAATCCCAGAGTACTGCGATTATAGGTAAGTGTCACCATCCCAGGCTTTATTAGCTGTTTTTATGCTACAACTGATCATACCTTAACTGGAAGTGACAAACACTGGGTGTGATCAGGTCAACACACGTATTAGTCAAGATGTCAGGCAACTGTTTGTATTTATAGTAATTTAAGTGGGTGTTCCCCATTTAAGGAGTATAGATAACAGCCCCCATGTTACTGTAACTGTCCCTGCAACTTAAGAAACCCAGGATCAAAGATTTATGTTCATTTATCAGCAGGCTTATTATGAGGCATACACAAGTTCAATTCAGAGTGGGCCAGTTAGTCCTTTGAAAGAGAAAACTATAAAGTTCCATAAATCTTATCTGTAGCCCTAGCCAGTTTGTTAAATGCTGTCTGCTTCCACATGAATGAGGCAAAGGGCGTAATAGCTCAACTGGTTATTGAGCTATTGACTGACTTCAGTCATCATTTTACCAATGGATGGTACATTTGCAGGTGCAGAATACAGACAGAGAAATACCATGGCTTTGGGAAACACTCCTGAACTATTGCGCTTGCTTTTCACCATCATTTGGCTTATTTCTTTGGAGAGATGGATCAAAAGAAAGTTGATTTAAAAAAAAAAAAAAGTTGAGGGCCGGGGATTTAGCTCAGTGGCACTGTGCCTGCCTCGCAAGTTCAAGGTCCTGAGTTCTATCCCTGGTACTGCAAAAAAAAAAAAAAAAAGTTGATTTACAAAAAATAAAAGATGGAGCATGCCCTGGGCTGGATCCAGCACCAACATGATACCTAACAGACTGGAACATAAGGAAATGGATTTTATTTTTCTAGCAGAAAATTCTGCAGAGGGAAAAGAATGTGTCCGACTGATGATCTCATTCACTCCTTCAGTTTTAAGATCAATGATTCTAGGTCTGTATAAACTACAATAAATTACCTGTCTTGCCATCAGAATCATTTAACTCACAAATTAGATAATGTCTGGCAATATCACAAATGTAGCCATTTTTTCATTTTCACTATAAAAGCCTTTTATGATTTCTGAATTTTCACTTTGGACACTGTTTACTTATTAAGTTCAAGGATTGCAAACAATGATCTGCTATCCTTCTATAAGTCTATTTATTCTGTTATTTTCTAATCATTTTTCCCCCACAAAGATTTCATTCCTGAGCCAAAAGCCTAAGTTCCTGGCTGGTGGTTAGCTTGCGCTATTATTTAAGTAACAGGCAGGATTCACTTTCTAACTAGGATTATATTTATAGAAGGGCCAGTGGAGATGGCACCTTAAATATAACTATTAGGACAGAATTGCAGATACTAAGCAAAGAAATTATTTTTTAAAAGGATGTTCAGGAGCCCGAGCAAAAGAAAATGAACTGTGCTCACTTGAGCATTTCCCTGTGAGCAAACAGGTAACGAGACTGCCAGCTAAAGACACATCTATTTGGCTCACACACCTGAAAACACAATATAAAACACAGGCTGTTGAATAGTTAGAGATTTTGCTCTTCCAAAATTTGAAACCAGTCAATTTGGAAGAAGCAATAATTAGGCTGCAGTGTTCAGTATCTTTTAAAAAAATCTTCAATTTCACTGGTTTTGAAAATAAAAGCTTGGATTAAAAACACAGCTGGTACACAAGTATCCTTTACAGATGAAGGAGAAATAAAGACTTTCTCAGACCCACAAAAATTGCAGGGATTTGTCACCAGTAGACCTGTAGGAAAACTGTATCTGTTCCACACTCTCTAGCTGCTTTCAACTTATTTATTTTTAACAAAACCACTTAACAAGTAACTGGCTACTCTTCAGAGTAGACTATTTTGAACTTGAAATTTTAAGAGTTAGTTTCATTAAAATCATGTAGTGCTATTGGAGAAATATCATAAAACATCTTTAATGTGAACACTACTTCATACAATGAAAAACTATTTACAAGGCATCACTTTCAGATGGTTGCATCACTCGACTCCCCATGTGCTAAAACAAGTCTTCAAGCAGGGAGCTTCAGTCCAATTGCACGCCCTCGTTCTCCTTGACGGTCTGCCAAGGTTCTTGGGGGTGCAGGGAAGCTGTCCACTTAATTCTCCTCAGTAATTATGGCTCAGCAAGCATGTCCCCCAAATGATCCATCACCCAGAGACTCCAGCAAGCACACATGTATAAAAGGAGCAGATAAGGTCTTATAGCAATAAATACTAATTAGGTGGTCCAATCATTTCCAATCTTAAGAAATTATTTTCACTTAGGAAAATATCTGTTTCTCAGTGGAACTAAAGTGGCTAATCTGTTCTTCATACTGGAACTGCATTAGAAGGTTGTTTTTATACAAATATAGCATGTTTTGGCCAGGAATATAATTTCTTGTTAAAGAGTTTATTTACCTTCACACACAGGACTGCTACATACATTCACAGTTTTAATAGACTGTAATGAGCTATTCCAGTTGTGCTTTAAAATCCCAAATACTGTTCTCATTAATGAGTGCAAAGCAAACGTCTCATCTGACTACAATTGGTCCTAGAGTTATAAACTCCATAATGATTTGTAGAAAGTTTCTCTATTCTCCAGTTTCATCGTTTGCTTTTTCAGGTATGACTTCTAGGCTCCGGCGTGGCTTCTGGACCTCAGCATTTTCAGTGCCTGGCTTATTCAGTCCACATGAAACAGCAGCATAATGGATTTGTTTCAGGTTCTCCAAAGTCTCGTTCTTAGCATATTTCAAAAGATCTGCTTGTCCCTGAAACAAAACATGTAATTAAACAGTATTAGGTATGACATGACTTACTGTTAAAACTTTACAGAATAGGTCTTTGGCTGAAATGGAAGTATTTTGTTTCTGCAAGAAGGCATATATTTATTTTTCTTGGCACTACATCAGAACAGGCTAATTTTAATAATAATAATAATAATAATAATAATAATAATAATAATAATAATAATAAAAGTACAAGTTTGTTTTACCACCACACTCCAGAAGTAGGATGCTCTTTCAGTCCTTTCCATTTATTAATCTGAATCAAGCTGTGTGTGTGCGGATGTGTGTGTACTGTTCCTGTATATTTTGGTTAAGGTATTTTTCACTGATGGTCCAATCCTGCTTTTTCCTTTTAAGATTTTTTTTTTAAAACGTTTTATTCTGGAATAAGTCCCTGTTCACAGAAGGACACAAACACAGTAGAGGTCTCGTGTACACCTCAGATAACTTTCTGAGGCTCACATTTCACAGAACTATGATATAGTATCTGAAAAAGGACACAGACCTGATACAATGCATACCCACAGTTCTACAGAACATGACACTCAACAGCACCTGCGGCCTTTACTCACCAGGCAGTAGCACTTCTTCAACTGCTGATGACCAAAATGCTTGCAGACATCACTACGTGTCTCCTGGGGATAAAAGAGCCCCTGGCTGAGAACCACTGGGCTAATTCTAAGGTTACTGAGTGGCAGAGATGAAGGGGTGCTGTTCTACTACGCAGACTCCAACACTTCTACTTCGCCATTTTGTTCCACTTTTCAAACTTAACCTGTGTAACAGTTCTTGCTACATATACTATTTCCTTTCCTTTTATCTCTGTTCATTATTTTTTCCTCTCCCCCACACTCTCAATTTATTTCAATTATTTTCTTTATGATTTGACATTTTGTCACACTTAACTGCCTCCCCATGCACAGTGCCTTTACAGTATTTGACTTCCACGCAGACTTGGAGATGGCTGCCGAGGAGAGCGGCTGAGGTACCTTGGTAGGCAAGTGGACTGTAATCAAATTTTAGCCACTGGTGAGACCAAATTGCCATGGAATTTTAAAACCATCATGAGGGCCCAAATCCACAGGATGATTTGCTTGCTTACCACTTACCATTCACAATTTCCCTACTTTACAGAGACCTTTAATTAGTAACTAAAAATAAATGTTCCACTGCTTAGTTTAACAGAAGGAGCTTCATTTTTATTCATTGTTCCTTGTCACTGAACTCATATGTTGAAAAAATACTAGTAACAAGGCATTTGTGTATAAGTATAGCATACTTTATCAGGAATATAATTTCTTATTAAAGAATTTACCTTTACAAGCAGAATTATATACACTCATGATTTTAACAGATTTAACTAGATACTCCATTTCTATCTTAAAATTAGAACTATTATTTTTAAGTGAAATAACTTTTAATTTTTAAAAGCAATTTTACGGTTATAGGAAAATAGAGTAGAAAGCCCAGAGTTCCCACACCCAACCCAGACTATACACACGTAGAGCTTCCCCCAGCCTCAGCAGCCCATTACTACAGTGGTGCGTCTGCTATCTCCAACGAAGCTACACTGATGATCAGTAAAATCCAAAGGCCGATGATCTGAATTAGGGTTCACTCTTGGTGTAGAATGGCTTCTGCAAATGTATGATAGGCGTCCATCATTACAGTATCATACGAAATAGTTTTCTGCCCTAAAAATCCTCTGTTCTGCCAAGTCACCCCTCCCCCACACCTCTCCAATCCAAACCCCTGGCAACCATTAATCTTTCTACTATTTCCATAGTTTTAGCTTGTCCAGAATGTTATATAGTTGGAATTTACAGTATGTAGCTTTTTCAGGTGGGTTTCCTTCACTTAGTCATATGGACTTAGTTCTCATGCTTTTCATAGGTTGGTAGCTAATTTCTGTTAAATGCTACATAATATTCCTTTATCTTGATGTCCCACAACTTATCCATTTAGCAACTGGAAGACATCTTGACTACTCAATTTGGCAATTCTAGAAAAGCTGCTATAAATGTCTTTAGACGCGAGTTTTCAGCCCATTTGAGTAAGGAGAGGCACTACTGCATCACATAAAAAACTGGTTTAGATTTCTAAAGCAACTGCCAAGCTGTCTTCCAAAGTGGTAGCACCATTATAAATGAGATTTTCTGTTACTCCAAACCCTAGCCAGGACTTGTCAATGTTTTGGATTCTGGCCATTCTAATAGGTATGACTCATTTTAATTTGCTTATTCTCGTGACATACGGTGCCAATCGTCTTTGCCTATGCTTACTTGTACATATTCTCTAGTGAGGTGTCTGCTCAGGCTTTGCCCATTTTTAATCAGGTCTGTTTCCTTATTAGTTACAAGAATTATCTGAAGATTTTGGAAAGCAGTTCTTTATCAGATGTGTCTTTTGCAAATATTTTCTTCTAATCTGTGGCTTCTCTTCTCATTCTCTTGAAATTGTCTTTTACAGTGCAGTTTTTAGTTTTTTTAACTCTTAAATTAATTTATTGGTACAATTTAAGCATATGTATCATGTTCATCAAAGGGAGTTTGTTTGTACTGTACATAATATATCTTGATTCCTCTTTTTCTCCCATCCCCTCTTCAACCTCTTCTCCCCCTTATTTACAAAAGCTTTGTTTCCACTTTTCCTTTTCTCAAATTTTCCCTTCCTTTCCCCCCTTTTACAGTTTCCCCTTCCTTTTGAACAGTTTCTTCCTATTTCACATTATCTATTACACATTAGTTTTAATGAAGTCAAGGTTATTAATTCCTTCTTTCATGGATTGTTTCAATGGAGTATTTTAAAAGTGCCATTGCCACACCCAACACCACCTAGATTTTCTGATATCTTCTAGTCCGTGTTTTGTGTTTTATCTTCAGGTTTACAATCAACTGTGAGTTAACTTGAGAAGACCTGTGCCTAGTCTCATTTTTTGCATGGATGTGCAGTTGTTTCATCACCATTTCTTTACAAGATTATGCTCCACTGCATTGGCTTTGCTCCTTTGTCAAAGATCAGATGACTATACTTATATAGATCTGTTTCTGGTCTCTCTGTTCTGTTCCCACATTGTCTAGACTTCTGCCAACAGTACACCATTCTGATTAATGTGCCTTTGCAGCAACTCTTAAATGGAGGTAGTGTCAGTCCTTCAACTCTTTTTTTTCTCCTTTAATACTGCATTGTCTATTCTGGGTCTTTCCCCTCTCTTTATATAAGTTTTAGAATCAGCTTGTCAATATCCAGGAACATAACGTTAAGTGAAATAAATCAGATAACACAAGCCTAAATGTCACATGGTTTTTCTTATATGAAGAACATAAAATATAAATATAGATCAAACTAGAAGAAACGGATATAGGGAGATAGAGCTCTTGCAAATGGGAAGTGGACGAAGAGATGGAGGGAAAGGGAGAGAAGAGGAAGAGAACGAAAGAAGAATTAGAATGTGTTATGTATAAGCACCAACTTCCCATGAGGAATGTGATGATTATGTACTACAGACACATGCTAACAAAAAATAAAAACTGAAAAAATATTTTGTGGAGGACTTTTGCATCTATGTTCATGAGAGATACTGGTTTGCAGTTTCTTTTTCTGATGGTGGCAATGGATAATGCTGGCCTTGTAGAATGAGTTGCAAGTATTCCTCTGCTCCTATCTTCTGGACAACAGTACACAGAAGTAGTACACTTTCTTCCTTAGATATACAGAAGCTATCGGTGAACCTGTTTCGGCTGGTGTGTTCTGTTTTGAAAGGCTATTAATTACTGATTCAATTTCTTTATTAGCTGTAAGCCTAGTCAGATGGTATATTTCTTCTTAGTGTAAGTTTTGGAGGATTGTGTCTTTCAAGGAATTGTTCTATTTCATGTAGGCCATCAAGTTTTCTGCCAGAAAATGGTCAAGATATAACTGGATTAACCATTTTATTGTCCAAAGAATCTGTAGTCCTCGCTTTCATTGCAACATTAGTAATTTGCGTCATCTTTTTTTTTTCCTTAGCTGAGCTACAGGTTTATTTTTCTTTTTCGAAGATAGCTTTGATTTTGTTGATTTGTCTCTATTAATTTCTACTGTAATATGACATTTATGGATGAAAATGAGTGGTTCTTTGTTGGAAATGCCTACCTGAATATCTTTTTGGACTTCACATATTCAAAGCTGAGCTCCTGACATCCTGCTGCTCTCTCCACAAGCAGCCTGTCCTCACTGAAAAGAGCCCCATTCTTGCAGCCACTTGGACCCATGATTCCAATGTCTTCACTTACTCCTCTGTCGCTCTCCTATCTCCCAGCCAGCCTGTCAGAACCCTTTCTGCCTCAGTCTTCTCCACACACCACACACACACACACACACACACACACTGTCACTTCTTGCCACACTCACTGCAGTGTAAGCCACTATCATTTGCCTCTAGGTTTATGACAGCCCCCTTCTGACTGCCCTCCCTTATTTTCTCTTTTCAACATGACAGCCACAGAACTCCAACTGGAACACACTCAGAACACACCGTCCCTCTGCTTCAAGTCCTCCAGAGGCTTCTTCTGTGCATTTACTGTTTCACCTACACAGAAGGCTCTTTTCCCTGAGAGACACAGGGTTTACTCTGTGTCTAACATTTGACCCCTATCCCCAATTCGACTTACCCTTTTTTTCCTGCCCTGCATTTCACAACACTCATTACTCCCTGAAGCATTGTGTTGTTTTGTTTATTATTTGTGTTTACCATTAAATGTGAGCTCCTTGAGAGCAGAGATTTTTGTTTCCTGATCACGGCTAAATCTTTGGAGCTTAGCACAGTGCCAGCTACACAGTAAGGGATCAGTAAGCATCTGCTGAATGAGTGTAATTAAGTATGTGCAAGTCTTGTCTTTAATATCCACAGCTGCCCCTCTAAGCAATGTGTTTTGTCTTTTGTCTGTGCCTATATATAAGTAGACACTGTATTTTATTTCTTGTAGATGGGATTAAGCAAT